ATAATTTAATGGTAAAAACTTTGCTCAAAATTCTATTGTACACAATCAGATATACCTGATAACAGCCAGTAGAAGACTAAACAAAAATAATCTTGACTTATCACATAGTAATAAATTATTATTATCAAAAATCTATTTCTGTTTTTTCTTTTTACATATTTGGTTAAAAGGCCAAATAAGGACTTCAAACCAAAAAAAACTCATTTTCTGTTTTGGTTTATTCTTGGATCAGGCTTTAAAGGGTTAAGCATTAACAACAGAACACCTGTTTTTTAGCTCATGTCCGTTTAAGAGGAAGAAGCCTGCAGGCACTGTTCTTTATCATTTTCAGCTAAAGCTTCATTTTCTTCCCTTTTTATTCTTGCGAAATAGTATTTCACAACAATTGTGCACAAATTGATACAAAGTGTTGTTTACTCCAGGTTGCATCTTCCTCTTTGGACAAATTCATGTCACCCGATAAGGATTAAGTCCAACAAATATTGGATTTGGAAAAACTTGTAAGAATTTGGTAATACATAATAAAGAGGTTAGGGTACACGCTTGCTGAATATTTATGCACAGTGTAAAAAAAAAATGTAATGTAATGGGAGATTGCACAATTATGAGGAAAGCTCTGTGTTAGCAGAGTTTTTATCTCAGATGCATCTGACAGTTCATGCAGTGCACAGAAACCTCTTAGAACGTTAAAGCCTGGCCGACACGCTTTTGCTTTCCCGTTTTCTTTGCACTAATTCACCACAGTGCTTTTCGCCTTTTCCCTTGTGTGTGAATAACTTTCATTGGGTCAGGAACATAGTCAGCATCGTTTAACATTAGCTGGATTACATTCATTTGTTTTACATGCAAGCCTAAATGTAAAAAAGGCACGAAACGCTGAAACAAACAATAACAGACGCATTATCCAGCCAACCGCGTTAATTAGCAATGAATAGATCATCGGCGAAGCTTTGGTTTTGTTCACGGACAACGACAAGCAAGTGTGTTCTCTTCATTTCACAGTTCGTAAAGCATTTCATCTTGGTAATTAGAGAAAGTGGAATATTCTGCATTTGAGGACTTACATTTAGGCTTTTTGTTCAGAATGACTCTGTTTACATTACTGATTAGACAAATGGACAAATCCAAGTTGATAACCGGCATTAGCCGGTATGACATTGGATTACATTCAGATGTTTGTGCAGAGATTCCTCATTTGAATACAGATTAGTGAAAATCACAGCATTTTTATTAAACACGAATGTCGTCTGATGATTTTGTCAAGTGATTTTAGATGAACAGCAGTCGTGATAAATAAATGCACATTTAATCAAATCCCTATCTAGCATTAGTTGGTGTTAGCATGTCCTGGAGGCTTAAAGGCGCACAAAAAAGACCCAGAAACAGTTTAATCATGATAAAATAATGTTATATACTCCAAGGGTCGGTCCTGATAGTTATTTTTCAGCCTAAATGGGATTCCTGCAATGTGTGTGATCATCTGCAGGCCTTACTGCGGAACTATCAAAAAAGAAGATGGTGACAATGGCAGAACTGCTTCAAGGGAGGAAGTTTTTAGGAGTGTGTGTATGTGGTCTTGTTTTTTGTATTTTGTAATCCTACATGCGAGGACTTACAGGTACATATGGGGACATTCAACTGGTCCCTATATGGTAAAGTTCTGTTCTTTGAGTTGGGGTTAGGTTTAGGACTAAGGTGTGAATTCAGTTTAGGTTAGGATTAGGTACATTTTGGTAATAGTTAGGGTAAGGGTATACACTGCAAAACATTTAAATCTTAATAAGTCATTTGTTCTTAAAATAAGTGCATTTTGTCTTGAATTGAGGAAGTAAATGAGACTCTTTGCCAATGGAACAAGACAATTTACATTTAATATAAGAAAAAACAATTGCATTGTCTTATTTCAAGTGCATATTATTTAATTATCTTATTTTAAGAACAAAAATCCTAATTTCATTGGCAGATCGTCCTGTTTACCTACTGAAATTAAGGGTAAATATACTTAATTTAAGAAATTTTTACTTTTACTTTTTTTTACTTTTACTTTTACTCAAGTTTTAATTAGACAGGTGTTTCCAGAAACCATCATTTCTTTATTTAGGAATTACTAACAGAGTGTGGAGGTGGTACTGTCCCAATTATCTTCCTGTGTGAAATATGCATGAAGTAAAGAGCATTTTGCATCACAATATCTGCATAATGTAGAAATAAGATTAGTAAAAAAAAAACACACAAAAAAAGTTAAATCCCATTATTTTCCTCCTATTCAGTCTTTCTTGGTTTTCTGTGCTTTACTCTGACTGGAAACGCTGTAGATCAGATATAGAGTTATCTTTAAGGACTTTGATGTTTGTTTGATTGTTTTAACACTTGCGGGTCGGTCTTGGCTCGGCTGGGATTAGCCGTCAACATCAGCTTCCCACACGAATTATCTGGCTTTAGGAAAGAAAATTATCTATTACAAAGAAGATATGAACTGCTTGTAATCTTTAACCAAACCTGACTGTAGAAATCCTGAGTTAACCCTCTAAGCTTCTCACTCAAAGTGACTCTGAATACCAAAGCTAATAGCAGAGATGGAGACTCGAGTTTGTGACTCGTACTCGAGTCGCACTTAAGTCGCATATTTAATGACTTTAGACTCGACTTAGACTTGCATTTGAAGGACTTCAGACTCGACTGAGACTCGTGATTTCTGACTTGTGAACAATATCTTATTTTTTAAGTGTTTTTTGTTTGACTAACTTGACTGATCACCGCTTGCCTTACCCGCACACAGCAGAGGTTAAAAAAATAAAAAATAAAAAAGGCAGAGGGGCTGTCAAACTGTCACGTAGCACTGATGTCACTGACGCAACGCTACGTGACATATGCCCGCGCGCCCGTGCGCATGCATGCATGATCGACAAGCCAAGCTTTAAAAACTTCATGGCCGTCGTAGAGGAGAAATATGTTGTGAATTGGCACTAAATAAATAAACTGAATTGAATTTAAAATACTGCCCGCCAAGTCGGTTCTGTCTGTTCCAGGGCATTAAGTTACAAAAAGTTATTGCCACAATGTTTCTTTTATGAAAGAATTGTTATTGTCCTGGTATTTATTTAGGGTTTTTCTTTATCTGTTGTAGTTGCTAACTTCATATGTATTAATAAAAAGCAGGATTGTGATTGGGTTTTTTTTCCACAGCCCTCATTTTCGCTTAAAAATAAAAGAGTAGACATTTACTCCTAAAACTAGAAAAAGTTGTAACCACAAATGTCTGGTAAATACTGTAAGAAAATTGTTGCTTCCGTCTCAGTGATGGAGATGAAAACACAAGGAGAAACAAGCAAGCACGCAAATTATTGCACTTATTTTAATTAATTGAGTGATTAATTGATAATTGTGACAGGCCTTCTCAAGACTTGAGGCTTGACTTGGACTTGAGCTCTCAAGACTTGAGACTTGACTTGGACTTGCAAAAAATGACTTGTGAACATGTCTGGCTAATAGACAAGTACTGTAGTTCAGTCTAAATGGGCAAGAGATTAGTAGGTCTAAAAACAATGAATTAGATTTATCGGGATTAATCGATTATTGAAAAAAAATCATCAACTAATTTATTGGTTAATCGTTAAATGGAGTGTAGAAACACTAAAACTTGCCTTTGGCTGACAGAGCCAGCCACTTAGAGCAGTAATTATACCATAGTTGTGAAAAGATATATAAACATTTTGCATTTAAGATAATAAAAATATTTTCGTCTGCCAATCTGCTCTATCCAGAACTCCTCAAGTGAAAATTTTTTGTTTGATTTCATAAAAAGGGCGACAGTGGTGTCGGATGTAGGAGTTTGCCCTGAAATCGAAGGATTAACAGTTCAAGCCCAGACTCCGACTTTCAGTGTCGTCGTGTCCTTGGGCAAGACACTTCACCTGCAATGTCTACTGATGGTGGTCAGTAACCTGACTCCGCCAGATGGATTTGCTCTGCATATCCATCTGGAAACCTTCCGTAAAAGTAATTTTGGGAAGGGGCAAAAATACTGGTTAGCTGATTGGCCTATGTTGGTGATAGACGGGCCAATTAAACCAATCAGATCAACGAAGCATATGACGTACTAACAGAGCGACGAGGAAGAGGAGCCAATTGATAGATCAAACTCTTGCCGAAACCAGTCGGGAGAAGAGCAAAAACATCTTTTCCTCTGAGAAAAGCCTCCAGAGCAGTGTTTTGCTCTTCTTTGAGTGAAGAAATACTCTGTAATTCCGATAAAACTTGCTCGATAGCCACGCTAACGCTAGTTTCATCGGCTGAAGCCGCCATGTTCTTTAGACTGAACTGTCGCGCTTGTCGTTGCGTCACACCTCAACCCGCCTCAAAGCCAACGCTGATTGGACGTTCGTTTGGTGAACGGCTCCAATTTTTCTTCAACGGAGAGTCTCCAGACTGATTAGCGAGTGAAATCTTGAAAGCTCGCGAGATCAGGATGGTCTCACAAGGCTAGGTGGTCAGAGGGCCCGGTGGCGCCAGTGTACGGCAGCCCTGCTTCTGTCAGTGAGCCCCAGGGCAGCTGTGGCTACAATGTAGCTTGCCACCATCATTTACCTTTTACCATAAAAAAAATCATCTTTAAAGGAACCTTTTGCTATCCGAATAATAACCAATTAATCTAAAAACATTATCCACAGATGAATCCATGTGCAAAATAATCATTGGTTGCAGCCCTAAAGATTTGCTGCTGTGGTTGGGTGATTGCATTTACATGAGTTTTAATACAGATTAAAGAATTGTGCAGTTTTAATAATTAAGATTTTCATTGCATTCATAACTAAATCATTTATTTTACAGCTTACTGGTGTTTGATGTGTTTAGCATTTCTGTCTTGTTTTCATGGAGGTAAATGCCAAATGTTGAGCCTCTGGTCGTCTGAGCAGCTCTGCCGTCCATTCGTCTGTTACCTGTCGGCGACGGTGGCAGCTCACTTTTTTTCCTTTCTCATTCTGAAATGTCTCCCCCAGGATAGCCATGGAAACCTACATCCGCCAGAGGCAGCTCATCATGTCTCCGCTCATCCCTTCCCGAGTCATAGGAGAGAATGAGCCGCTCACGGCTGTCTTCAACAAAGTCATTGCTACGCGGGATGTCAACCATAAAGGCCAGGGTGAGGCGGCGCGCTCGCAGACAAGCACTCTCCCCTGTGATTTCTTTTTTTTTTTTTTTTTTTCAAGGGTCACTCTAAATGAACCCTTTTGTTTTGAGTAAAGTTAAAATGCATGTCAGGGGATGTGGAAAATGTACCTTTTTAGTGTCTGCCTCATTGAATTTCCTAACATCTCTGCTGCTAGGGCTGTTTGTGACCCTGAAGCTCCTCCCGGGAGACCTTCCTCAAGTCAGAAAAGACTTCCCTCACTTTGTAGACCGCAGCACGGCGATAGTCGGGAAAATGGGCTTCCCAGAAATCATCCTCCCAGGTGGATTAAAGTCTTTGTTGCTGGGCATGGCTCTGCACTCGCTCTGATCCTGTTCATTTGAATTTCCCACAGGGCTGTGGGTGTGTTGTGAACGCTCGGCCCGTCCACCCTAATGATCTCTTGTGCTTTTTCTGCAGGAAACGTTAGGAATGATATTTACGTTACCTTGCTTCAGGGCGAGTTTGACCGCGGTAAAAAGAAGACCCCGAAAAACGTGGAGGTTATTCTCAGCGTGCATGATGACGAAGGCAATCCGATGGAGGTAAAAACGGCCTCGGTGTTCAGTTATAATGATGCCCTTTTTTGAGTAAACAGGAAGTGTGATCCTAGAGGCATAGAGTAAGAAGAAACGTATCGCTTTAAATTAGTTTGTGTCATTTCACCAAATAATTGGTTGGAAAAACATTATTCCTGTTAATTTCGCAAATGATTTTTTGGCATTTGTATCAAAACTGATTTCATTTGGTATTTTTTTTTGACCAGGGTTCATGAGTCCATGAAATCTTTAAAGTTTTTGAATGAAAAATTATTTGAAGATACTGGAAAGTTCTTTTTAAAAAAGCCATAAAAATACACCTACTATAAAAATCTTTTAATATTTTTGTGTTTTTGTGACCACTTTTAGGATGTCTTTTATTTTTTCGCATTATTGAGAGACCTGTTTAACCTTTTTAACTAAAGAAATGACAGGAAGAATTTTTCTTCCAGTTCAGGAGCTCTTTGGAAATGGTTTCTCCCAAGAAGGTTTTTCTCAAAATGAGAACCAATTACTAAAACAAAGTGCTCTTAACTGCTTTAGATAATTGCAAGCACCAAACTATAAAATGAAGTATTTCTGGCCAGCAAGTTCTAGTCTTTTAATAATTAGTAGTTACTATTTATAAATAGTTTCACCACAGATCTCTGACATCATTCTCCAGCGTTTTTTAACTAATTAACTCTCTGCATTTAATATATCCCGATGGAGAGCAGTGTAACCTGACTCCGCCAGATGGATTTGCTGGATTTGCGCCGCATATCCATCTGGAAACCTTCCGTTGAAGTAAATTTAGGAAGGGGCGAAAATACTGGTTAGCTGATTGGCCTATGTTGGTGATAGACGGGCCAAATAAACCAATCAGATCAACGAAGCATATGACGTAATAACAGCCAGGCTACTCTTGCCGAAACCAGTCGGGAGAAGAGCAAAAACATCTTTTCCTCTGAGAAAAGCCTCCAGAGCAGTGTTTTGCTCTTCTTTCAGTGAAGAAATACTCTGTAATTCCGATAAAACTTGCTCGATAGCCACGCTAACGCTAGTTTCATCGGCTGAAGCCGCCATGTTCTTTAGACTGAACTGTCGCGCTTCTCGTTGCGTCACACCTCAACCCGCCTCAAAGCCAAAGCTGATTGGACGTTCGTTTGGTGAACGGCTCAAATTTTCTTTAACGGAGAGTCTCCAGACTGATCTGCGAGTGAAACCTTGAAAGCTCGCCAGATCAGGATGGTCTCACGAGGCTAGGAGCAGTGGGCTGCCATTGTGTGGTGCTCAGGGAGATCAGAACCTTCCAGAACCATTCCAAGCACCTTAACCACTAGGCCACTGCTCCCTCAAAGCAGGCATTACCCTGAAGGGTCTTGCTTAAGGCCCCACAGTTCATTCCCCCCAGTTGGGATACAAACCCAGGCTTCCTGTTTGCAGGACGGGTGACTTACCACTTGAGCTAGCCAGTCACAAAATCTAAGTGGTGTCTAACCCCTTAATGATGCGTTCCCAACAAATGCATTTAGAAAGGTGTCAAACATCTCATCTTGGATGCTTCGGCACAATAAGGTCAGACGTCCCTGTTTTGAATCCAAGTTAAAGTACAGTTCTGTCTGTAAAATTGACAGACTGTAGTAGCCACGTTTGCTCTGCCATGACTTTTTTTCCAAACTCGTCGTCGCCTTTTCTTTTTTTGAACAAATTGCCAAGGCAGCGCTTTTCACTCTAGTGAGCTTCATATTCCCCTTCTATTTGTTTGGCTTCAGGATAGACGAATCAGAGCAGCTCCATCTGAGTCCGACATGGTTTTTAGTCGTACGGTGGGAGCAGGTAGATCGCATGAGAGCGTCGGGCCGAACATAAATCGTGAGCCGTGAACTCACACTGTACGACTGAACCCTGCGATCAGTCGTACATTGTGAGCAGTAGCTGCTTTATAATACAGTGTACTTTCTACTTTTTTTTTTTTGTCCACCTGAGTTCTAAATGACACGGCAGATCAGCCGATAGACGATAAGATTATAATACACCAAAGAGACTTAAGGACAAAAGAGAAGTCCCTCTCCAACTTAAACTGCAGATGTGTGTCTCTCTGGTGCATTTTTATTTAAAACAAGCCTGTTCTTTTTTGATGTGAAGTTTCTCACAATGGGTAGAGAAGCCAAAAATGTTATGAAGGGAAAGGAGAGATATTCCTCTACTGGCAGTAAAATGGGAAAATGCTTTACAACAGGGTCATTTTTTCCTCCCAAAGTAAATATAACCAGTTTCTACTGTACCTGCCTCTGTTATAGACGGAAGAGTAGGGCCATAGAAGAAAAAAAAAAATAAAAAAAGTTAATTGATCTTTAAATTTTATCAGTATAAAAGTCAGAATTCTGACTTTATTCTCAGAACTCTGACATTTTTTCTCAGAAATCTGACCCCCCCCCCCCCCACACACACACACATATTATACTAAAATAACATTTAAAAATCAGTAAAATGTAAAAATCTGTTAACTTTTGTTTTTTGTTTTTTTCCAGTTGCCCTTTTCCTCTTCTGTAATACAATCTCTTCCTTCATGGTCAGAATTCTGAGATTAAAGTCAGATTTCTGACTTTATTCTCAGAATTCTGACCTTTTTTCTCAGAAATCTGATTTTTTTCCCCCTATGTTATACTAAAATAAAATGTAAAAATTATTTAACTTTTTTTTTTACTCTGTGTCATGGTTTTGAGGTGCTTGACCCACATGCAGAACCAACACAGAAGGCAAGAGCAATTTTCAGACGTTTAATTAAACAGCGAGGGAACCAAACACTGGGAGCTGCGGCACGGTGAGCAGGTGGACTATCAGCGCAGGCAGGACTGATCGATCTGCGGTGAGAGCCAAAGTTAGACAAAGAGATAGGGAGAACGAGATAGGGGAAACGTTAAATAAACCTACCGCCGGATGAAGGAACCGGGCAGGGGGGAGTGGAGAGACGGACTCACTGAGGAACCTCCCGAGAAGTTGGCAGGTGACTGAGCGACAGGTGGGCAGGTGATTGAAGTCTGTGAGGAGGGGCCCGAGCAGCAGCGGCCGAGGAGGAATCCGGGGGCAGCTGATGGAACCAGAAGGATTGAAAGGCTCTCCAGCCCGGCTTGGTACCACCAAGGGAGCTGGAGGGATTATTCAGAGGTAGATCCAGAACAGTCTGAACCGGAGAACTTCCACTGAAGACGTCGGAGCTCGAGGAAACACTGGAACGGTTTTCACAAGGAGAAAAGACCTGGGAAACACAGGAGACTTGCGTTAGCGCTGAGAAAAAGGTAAGCTGTCACAGACAGAGGCCTCTAAGCGTACCAACAAGGTTAACACTCTGGCGTCCATCAGCTGTCAAAGTGCTGCTTAAATAGCAGAGCCGCACGCCGCTGAACAAGCCACAGGTGTGTACCACGCCCACCTGTCAGCTCCAGCCACCTGCAGAGAAGGGAGAGAGAGGCAGAAACCTGACACTCTGTTGCCCTATTCCTCTTCTGTAATACAATCTCTTCCTTCAAGGTCAGAATTCTGACTTTATTCTCAGAATTCTAAATTTTATACTGATAAAATAAAAAAATCTGTTAACTTTTTTAATTTTTTCAGTGGCCCCAATCCACTTCCGTAGTTATAACCTCCCTAGTGCCACACTTTTTATATTATTGTTAGTTAAAAAAGACCCAATATCTCCTTTTTCTTTCATTTTGAAAGGTAGGCAGTACTTTGTCGCATCAATCCCAGTAAAACACACAGCAGAGGTTTATTAGTGCACCATGACCAAATGTTTAAAGGGTGTGAATATTTTTTCCAGTCACCGCATCCTCTCTTTTTTTTTATATTGCAGAATGAATGATTGTAATTGTACCACGTTGCTGTGACAGTGTATGAGTTTGTGTAATGAATGGTTAACAGTTGGTCTGTCTGCTGGTTTATATTTGCTGTGAATGCATCATTATGTGAGGAGCTTCATTTGTTTTCTTTTCATGACAACGTAGCGACAAAATTAATGACTCAGATATCCTCACTTGCTTAAGTAATAGTATGTTTGTGTTTCACAGGAAGGAGGGAAAGAGAAATAAATGACTTGATGTTTCAGTACCGCCTGAATGAACTGCTGGCATGGCTTTTTTCTGTGCTAATATTTTTCCCCCAACAGGTTTATGTCCCTGGCTATGATTCACATTTCTTTTTTATATACAATCTATGCATATATTTTAAGCATATATATATATATATATATATATATATATTTGTCAAAGCAGATATAAAACACAGCCCAGAGAAAGCTGATAGTGCTCCCGTCATGTAAACTCATCTCCATGCTTTAATTTTCTGCAGAAAGCAATATTTCCTGGGGCCGGCTATGATGGCATTACAGAGTACAAGTCTGTCATCTACTATCAGGTGAAACAACCTTGTTGGAATGAAACAGTAAAGGTAAGCTCATCTCTTAAAAACAGACCTGCTGTTCAGATTTATTCAGAAAGCCTTAAATTAAACGAGCCTTTTCTCGCAAAAGCATAATCCCACATTTCAAAATTTGGAGGCAAAAAAAAATCCAATCCAACCTGGAAATCCCAGATGGGAGAGTTAGTTGGAGCTGTGCTGTAAATTCATCATAAAACAGCCTTTAAGCAGCGCTCTGCTTCTTTCGTCATTATTTTGCATAGAAGACAACAATGTTATTAATGAAAAATATAAAAGTTATCGTACATAGAAAACAGGATGTCCTCTAAAATCGTTTTTTTTTTCTTTTTTTTTCTTAGAGGAGCTCACATTTTTAAACCAAATAATAATTTACTACTTTATCACCATCCTTAAAATGTTTTTGAAATGCAACCGATTTTAGGAACTGTACGAATTTGTATTTGCACAAATTTTTTGTAATCAATATAATTATGTTTTTGAATAATACATACAAATAACATCTGTAGAGATGCAGAATAAAGTCTTAATTTTACAAGAAAAATGTATATGGGAAACTGATCTTATCTTAATATGGATCAAGCTAGATCAGTTCAATTTTAAAACCATTGTTAAAGTGAAATTACAGGTTAAAAGGGAAATCAATCCTGGGGACCAATAAGTAGCAAATCTAAAGGGCCCCTGGCCCCCATAGAGGACAACTTTTTTTAACTAAAAAATAAATTTTTCCAAATAATACATCCAAAGAACATCTATATATGTGCAGAACAAAAGTATTAGTTTTAAATGAAGACATATTTATGAATTATTCTATTCTAAATGCTGGGACTGTGGCATTAATGGGAAACACTGAACTTATAAGGTATATAGTGCATAGCGGTGTAAATAATAATCGTTTTGTATCGATGCATCGACCCAACAGCCGACGATCCGATGCATCGACATGTCCGCAAGAGAATCGATTCATCAAAATCAATTTTTCCCTCCTACCTCGCTTCCTGGTTATACTCTTACAGCAGTGTGTTGCAGTGAGCTTGACGCAGACATTTTTGATTTATGCTCAATATTGAAGTGTGGTCTGTGCTACACGCTGTGGGTCTAGATACAGCCGAGGCGGTGAGGAAGTGGGGGCGAGTTTAGTCCGACGACGGAGGGACATGAGGGCCAAAAAGAGCGGAGATCCAGGTGGAAAAAGGGTCCCAGCGTTCTCGCTCACCTCGCTCTTCTAGCGGGTCAAACTTCACGAGTTGTTTTTTTCTGCAATTTCGGTCATAAAAACAAAACAAGCCGGCCTCCTATCTGTGGCACTGTTTGCGGTCAGCTACAATTTGGGAGAGGAGCAGCGGAGCGTCTGTGGAGGGGGCGGGGACGTCTGGAGCCGAGGTATTGAATTGCACTCATTGCACTGATTTTCTGCAGTATTTTTTGATGCAAGGCCTTTCAGAATCTATAACGCAGGGGATTATTATTTTTCAGTGAATGAGGTTTTATTAGGAATAGGTGGAGGACAACTTTTCTACTTCTGTTATTTGCTGTTGTTTCTCAAAGAAAATGCATAACGATATTACAGCTTTCATTGATTGTAAGGTAAAAAACAAAAACCAATGAATCCAATCGAATCATATCGTGGTGTTTTTTTTGAGTATCGAAAATAATTAATTCCTGTAATTACATTATTTACGCTGACCTGGATGAATATCTGTTTAAACAAGTGCTAATGACATAAGCTGGTGGTGTAGCTTTTCAAAATAAAGCATATTTTCACATTCAGATTTTAATTCATTTTATATTATGATTGATATTAAATATAGGTGTGCAGATATATGCTTTACATTCTCAACCTACTTTTTAAAATCCATTCTGATGATGTGGAGGATTTTATTTTGTTATGGCTTTCCGCCATAATCTACAACATATAGTGGAAACCCTGGAAAAATGAGAAGAAAAACACAAGAAATTTAATATTAAAGACCCTTTTAACTCCTGGTAGAAGGTTTTAGAAGCATACAGAGAGAGACCTTCTGTGACCTTTCCTCCATGAACAATCCTTCAGGCTGGATCTGCTCTCATTTCCTTGTTAGCCACAACCACACCACAGATTTTTAAAGAAAAGGAGGTTGAGAGAAGGTTAAATTTGTGTCTTCTAAACCACTTTAGTGTTGATTTGGAAATATGTTTAGAATCCTTATTTTCTGACCTAAGGATGACAAATTTTACACTTCTGGTTGGGTTATCTAATGATGTTGAAATCTCTGCTGGGAAAGAAATTAGCCTACAGCGCTATTGTAACCTGCATTTCTCTTTACATGTATAAAAATAAGTAATAGGACTGTACACATATGCATACTGCTACTGTATATTTCTTATTCCCCCTGACGTTTTGCGTGTTTAACTTATGCTGATATGGAAACTGATGTCAAATCCCTTCTTTCTGCATCAAACTTGAGCAGTAAAGATGATTGTAATGCTTGATTTCCTGGTTTTTCAAAGAGTTCCTGATGCTGCCTTCACTCTTAACGAGTCTCCCAGGGCTTCTGGAAGAAGGGAGAAGTCAGCCTGCAGCATCCTAGTACTTTGTTTCACACTAAACCCACCCCAAGTGTTGCTATAAAATCTAATTGTGGCTTTCAAATCCCACGGTTTCAGTTGAAGATGGCACTCTTTTCTCTTTAAGATAAATAATAGTTTCTTTTTAATTTCTCTTACTATCCTCAACATGATCCATGGTGGCAAAGTGAACAAGGTTCAGGCCAATGGCCAGAAGCTAAAGCAATGTCCCTCATTTTACCTCTGAAACTTAAATTCCTAATTAGACTTTTCAAACTCTTATCCGTTTAAGGCATAATAGCATCTATGAATAAAAAATATCCACATTTTATTTATTTTAATTTTAATTTAATTTATTAAAGGTCTTAGCTCCAACCTTCAGCTGTTCTGCTGTATATTTGTGTTGAAGACCAGACACTGAAAGAAAGCAAAGTCAAGGAGCCGGATTATAACCAAAGTAGTAATAGATATTGGTGAAATGGATCCTCAGACTTGAACAAGTTAAGTGTCAGGTCTAAGCACCTAAAACATCATACATACATACAAGGAAAGAAAGAAGGCACAGAGACAATTAATTTAGTTTTACTCGTGAGGAGAGTAGGAATAGACTGCAGAGTTTACAAATCTCCAATCCGCTCTGCGGTCCCAGCGTTCTCCTTGCTATTTATTAAAGTCAGGGGGGTGGTCCCTAGTTACACAAGCTGAGGTTGCGCTAAAGGAATAGGAAACAAGAAATAAAATTCATTTTGCAGCCTCAGTGAACAGGTCAATTTGCATTTAAATGTCTTGCGGTCAAATGGTCAGAGAACCTCCTGGTTTCGTTTAGCTTGGGCAATACTTCCTGAGAGTTGACCTATACTGCTTGTGCAACACCTCTCTGGAACAGTAATATGTCACACATAAGAACAAACATTAAGTATCTTATACACAATTATTCCTACATTAAGTTTAAAGGTCTGTGGAACATGTGCACAAACCAATTGGCAACACATAGACATGATAAGAGGAAAAGGGAAGCAGATCTAACATCCACTGAGGTTGTTTTGTTTTATTCTACTTATTATAAGGTTATAATCCTGTCTCTTTAATGTTTGCATGTATACAAAAATGTATTTTGGTTCAACCATCAATAATTGGGCTGTGTGCTTTATTTTTTTTACTGTGTGAAAAAGAGAAACGAGGGGGAAAAAAACTGTTTATAGGTTAGAAATGGTACCGTATTTTCACGACCATAAGGCGCACCGTACTAAAAGGCGCAGTCTCGGTCATGTGTGCCATTTCTGTATTTAACACACACATAAGGCGCACCAGACTATAGTGCGCAGGTTTTATATACAGGTACATGTCCTCTACTATGTTTAAATACCTCTACTGCGTATTTAAAAATAGAGCGGGAGCAAAACTGAGTATGATTGTGCTTTATTCATGTATTTATTACAAAGTATTAATCAAACCCATCAAAGTCATCATCCTCTGTTTCTGAATTAAACAGCTGCGCTAAATCAGACATGCCAATTTCCCCTTCTTCACTGTCAGTCACTTTCCGTGCTGCGCGGCTCCTCAGAAATAATGCCGGCTTTTGTGAAAGCTTGAACAACAGAGCCAGCAGACACATTAGTCCAAGCATCTACAATCCATCCGCAAACTGTGGCGTAACTTGCCCGGCGCAGCCTTCCACTTTTCGTGAAACTGTGGTCTCCGTTGGTCACCCATCGCTCCCACGCCGCTTGCAGCCTTACTTTGAACGGCTGGTTCACACCGATGTCGCGCGGTTGAAGTTCCTTTGTCAGACCTCCCGGGATAACGGCGAGCACTGTGTTAATTTGATTCACCTTGTTTTTCACATCGGCTGTGAGATGGGCACGCATGGAGTCACAGATTAACAGCGATGGTGATGCCTGGAAAGAACCACCTGGTCTCCTTACATAATCCTCCCTCAGCCACTGCACATTTTGAGGGAAAAAAAAGACGTCTATATGCACCTTATAGTTGTGATAATAGGGTACATTGCAGAACCGTTAATTTATTCTATTGGTAAAAACATTTAGTCTGCTGAATACTATATCTAATATATGTTTATGTCAAATTAGATTCTCAGATCTATGTTGGCACACTGGAAAAACGATCTAGCAATAGCTTAAATTAAGTGTATTTACTAGTGTTGCACCAATACCGATACCAGTATCGGGCGGGGCCCCGATCCAGCACTAAAATGGTGGTTTATCCATCAGTGAGTACCAACAAATAGGGCACCGATACCATTTTGAGAGCCAAAAGTTTATTCAACTATTGTCACCCATTCCAGGTAGGCAATAAAAAGTTCTACTGGATTCTCTTTGTTTTAGTCTTTTTTCCTGCTTTACAAAGGTAGGCAGCAGCTTGACAAAGCCATGATGGCAATTATTTTACATCCAAGTAGTTTGCAGTTCTTCATATATTAACACACATCAATTTCAAACAGATGGTATCGGTATCGGCCGATACTGCACAGCCAGGTATCTGGTATCGATATTGGGGACAAAAAATGGCATCGGCGCAACACTAGTATTTACCCTTGAGTAGATAAATGAGATAGTTTGCCAATGGAATGAGTATTTTTACTCTTAAAATAAGATAATTCGATAACACGTACTTGAAATAAGATAATGCAGTTGTGTTTTCTTATTTTAAATGTAAATTGTGTTGTTCCACTGGCAAAATGTCTCTCTTTACCTCCTCGATTTAAAAGCAAAAGCACTTATTTTAATAATAAACGACCTATCTCGATTTTGTTTTTTTCCAGTGCAGTGAAACCACAGAGCCAAGTCCTTTCTAGCTTTATTTTAATCTGCCTTTTCTTTTTTTTCATCCGTTTTTGTTGTTTAGACATGAAGGAAATGACAGAAAAGGGTCAGTTTTATACAGTGCTCTGCCTCAAATAAAAAAGTTTTTAGAAAATAAGCTTCTGCAATGAATTGATGTTATTTTAGAAGCCAAAGGACATGGATGGTAACGGGCTTCATCTTCCCCTAATCCTTTTTATTATATTTAAATTTTTTTGTTTTTGCAGAAAGAATCCTTGAGAGAAAACATGTGTTTAATGTACTAATATGACACCTTTTTTTCCTGCTATCTTCCCCCGTTTTTCCTCACGTTGCTTCTAGGTGACAATTCCCATCGAAGACGTGTGCCGCTGCCACCTGAGGGTGATGTTCCGACACAGATCCTCCCAGGACTGTGAGTTGGCTCTCATTTTTATGTCCGCTGTCGCTGCAGGTGGACCTGCTCCCTGCCTGTCTTACGTTCCCGTGTTTCCTTCAGCCAGGGATAAATCCGAGAAGCCCTTCGGCATGGCGTTCGTCAAGCTAATGAGAGGCGATGGGACCACGCTGAAAGATGGCCGGCATGAGCTCATCGTCTACAAGGTGGTGGATAACTCCAGTGCATTCGGATCATAAATTGTGTAGAAAAAAGTGTGATTATCCTAATTATGCAAAGAGGTGTCATGAGAAGCTGACTGTTGGCAGGTGGATTATGCACGAGCCTCTCTTTAAACCAATAAATATGAGATTGCATCTCCTGTCGATCAGTGCAGCTCATTAATCTTGCTCTGTGTTATGAATTTTTTAAGGTTGACGTGAAAAAGGCAGAAGATGCAAAGCTTTATCTGACGCTGCCGGCAACCTGGGCTGAAGTGGAGGAAATTGAGAAGCAAACGGGGAAGCAGTTCCACCATTCAGGGGCTATTCCAGTGACTAAGGACAGTTTCCAGCTGGCGACGCTCACCTGCTCAACTAAACTCACTCAGAACGGTATTACAGAAGCTCAGGGATCATTAAAACACCTTCCGTTAGACGTAACCATTGGCCTTCTGTGCTGAGATGGTGAGGAAGGGGTTTCTGCAGGCCTTAAATGTCTAAAATGATGAAAGATTTTCCCCACAAGGGAAGATTTAATCATCTACATTCATTTAACAATGATTTTTTTTTTTTTTTATGTTTGAGAAATACTTCATTTATTGGTTTAATGTGCCGTCGAGCCGGCTGAGGAATTCAGGCTCAATGATACTTCAACAAAGAAAGCGATTGAAGATGTTAGATAGTAAACATCCCTGAGGGAAGGAGTTCAAAGGCTGACATTGATGCAGCTGGAAATTTAATAGTTTCCTTAAGAAATAGAGTAAAAATGTTCTTAAGTTGTTTACGTTCAGCTCCGTCGTCATGTAAACAGCAGGGCTGTAACCATTGGGTATGGTGCTAATGGATTAATCTAAAGAGAGAAATTAAATTTATTGTTCATTAAAAATGTAAAAACAATTTTGACACAGTTTGATGCTTAGGAATGCATCTTTAATAGTTTTTAATACATCATTTTTACATTAATTTCTGTAAAGTTTTGCCTTAATTCCCCCTCCAGGTGTCTGTTTTGCCCCAACAAATACGATATTTAACAGACTAATTACTCTGGTTCACCATTATGTAATTACTAAATTAGATTAATATTAAAATAATCTATTGGTTCGATCTGTCTCACCCAGAGAAAGCGGTATATACCTAAGAACCTTTCTGAGAATAGATATTAATGCTTGGATTTTAAGAACTGCACATAACTCATGCCCTCCAACTTCAGTCCATTGCTGCACACAAGCCAGCTGACCAGCAGTGTGCAGCAACATGCTGCCCTGCAGGATCTCTGCGCTTACTTAAAGCTCTTTAAACCATAGGAACCGTATCCCAGGATGACCGCCATACAGATCCATTCAAAATGCTGTTAATAAAACAAAGTGTGATACTAAGCCGACCTTCAAATTAGATTTTATTTCAGATTTTTAACAGAACGACTGTCACATAACCCTCTGTTGGGCAGGTTTTATTTCAGGTAGCAGCTGTTGGAAATGAGTCTTCATAGCTGAAGCTTTAGTGTTTTCTAATAAAGAGACTTTTCTAATATTAAGTGCTATGAAACAGCATTCGTCCCCTTAGACATTTCAGATCATCAAATATAACTTATGATAAAAGCATAATTAAATCCATTCAAATCTAAAAAGTTCGATCAGACCTGAAATGCTGTTAGAAGCATTGGATCAGTTAAAAGATGATAATAATAATAAATTTCTCCTGGAACTGGAGGGGATTTTTTTATCTCTGCGTATGAAGCTTTGTCATTACTTGATTCCTTTATAAAGATGCGTCAGAGATATTGGACGGTTTTCTAGAGAAGCGTGAGTAAAAATGTGAGTAAGCCATGAAGAGGAAAGAAAGTTTCCTCCTGTTGCTGCAACAAGCAGAGCTGAGCTGCTTCCTCCACAGCTTCAGGTTGAAGGGATTCTTCTCCAGCTCCTCTTATCCACGTTTTTTACGTTATAATTTCCAGCTGGTTTCTATATTTCCCTCATTAGAACAATAAATGATACTTGTGTTCTAATAATCATTTCATGCAGTTCAGAGTGAAAATCTTGCAAATTTTTCTCTTTTGGAATCTGGTGTTTTTCTCACTTATATTTGTCTGATTCCTGTATCTTTGATTATCAGCAGCATATTGTAAAATATGTGCTTTAAAATGAGTACAGGAGAAGAGGAAGTAATAAATCTAAACAAATACAAATATGGGCAAAACAGAACCCTCAGGACCTTAGAAAAGTGCTCAGTTGATCAGATACTTTATGCCTGAATAATTCATAACTTTAGAGGCTGAATAAGCAGATAAGGGAATAAAATAATTAATGAATGAATTATAGAATATGAAACCCAACCAAAATCCTACTTCAGTGATCACAAAGAACAATTCCTTACTAAAATGGTTTTGATGACTTTAATGGTGGTTTATAAAAGCTACTGCATATTAGTGCTTATTTTGAGCTACAGTAGGTGTAACAGCTGATCTTTAACCAATAGAATGGCAATTATAAGTTATTAAATGTATTAAGAGCCTTATTTGTTAACAGATAAAAATTTAGAAAAACTGTTTAAAAACATTATTAATCTGATGGACACGCATTAAAATTCAATTAATTTATTAAATTAAGAAGAAAAAGGTTGAAAGATGCAGTTTAACTAATTTCAGGTCATTTATGTAAAACAGGAGGTAATTAGGTTAGTAAGACACCGAACAGGAAGGCACGTCTCTGTTAATTAGAATAACTGCATGTTGTCTTACAGCTAATAAAAAAAAAACCCTCGTCTCTTAGAGAATTGGAATATAAATAGTTTTATTATTAGAGAGATTATGTGGGGGTTCCCAAAGTGGGGGTTGGGACCCATCAGGGGGCCGTGAGACACCAAGTGTGGAATCGCAAAATGGTTTTCACAATCATGATGATTTGATCCCTGAGGTATATGGAGGGGTTGAATACATTATGGAATAAAAAAATATACTATAAAATATGTCGACGCAGCATTTGTTTTATCCAATTTATGATTCAAATATTAAATGTTCAATTCAATTATCGAATTTACTAAGTAAATGACCCTTTAAATAATCAAAATTACATTTAGATCATGAAATCCCATTCATTTTATTTTTTTTTATTAATCTAATTGGCTTTATATTCCTGAATGATTGTGGAGGTAAATAACTGTATTTATAAGGGCCACCATTCTGTATCAGTTATTTTTGGGGTCACAGGCTGAAATGTTTGGGAATGCAGTCTCAACACTCATCCACTGACATTTGAAGAACATTGAAGGCTCAGATATGCTTAATATTGACATCCGGCGTTTTACCTCTGTGCTGGTTGTCCCCCTGTACCTAATATTTTGGATGTGAAAAACAAAGTAACATTTTTAAAGCCTCTTTATGTCATCAAAGATTATAAACAGTTTTTCGCAGTCTGTTGTTTATTTATGGGCTGATACGTAAGATGTCTCTAAGTCAGGGTTCCCGCGGGTCCTTAAAAAGTCTTAAAAGGCATTGAAGTCTTCAAAATAAAATGAAGGCCTTAATTGGTATTAAAATGTCTTAAATCAGTCTTTTTTAGGTCTTAATTTTTAAAACATCATAAATAGGATTATTTTTATTACCATTTATTTTTGTAATCTAAATAAAACGTTAAAATTTACAATTTTTTATTTAAAAAAAAAAATAAAATTACGGCTCGCCATTATTAGTTCCGTCCCGATAGCGGAACCAATAAAAGCGTTGTTGCGGCCGGGACATTTTGGAGATGTACCATTTACTTTTTGTCTGGAAAATATGAGCAAGTGTAAATGTAACGAAAATTGTCTCCAGCCAAGAGTTTTCTCCATGGCTAAAACCAGGGAACATACATGAGGCTCAGTGGATTTTGTGCAAGAAGTCATTTAGGCTCGGAACGATGGGAATTAAGGCAGTGGAGTCGCACATGCGAAACACGAAACACAAAGCGTCAAAATGGAGTTACAGAGAAACAGCCGGTATTTCTCGGTTTAGTTCCACCCTTGTCTCTGCAACGCCTCCACTTATCACCAAATCAAACATACTAAGAAAACGACACAAAGAAAAATAGCTGCAAAAAAGACTTAGCGCTGGTTATGTTGTGGCTTTAAAACTGATTTGTTTTGTTCCCTGCTAAAACAAAGTTTGAATTCAGTTAAATAATTTTTCAAATATATCTGTCATTTGTGTGTTTTTAGCTTTCTTCCTGTATGAGAAGCTTTTCAAAATGTGAAACATTAGTGCAGTGGTTTATGTTAAAATAAACCTTTGGGTTAAGTTGTCGCAAGCGGGTTTTTCTTGTGTTTCTTGTGAATTTGGTCTTAAATTTTTATTTCAAGTGGCATTAAAAAGTCTTGAATTTAGCTTGCCTTATGCTTTAGGAACCCTGCTAAGTGTTTTATATGCTAACCCTCACCGGAAGGAGCTGTCGCTTGTCCTCCATGTTTGACCACATTGAGCTGTTTGCGTAGTTATAAATGATGTCATTTGGCCACTTGGACGCATTAAGCATAAGCCAGGCTTGAGCCACTGAACGGAATTTTAAAGAGCCTCTAAGGATATGAATGAAAAGTTGAGTGGAAGGAAAAAAAAAATTTAAATGGGGAACAATTATTGCTGTAGTCCATGCAGAATGAACTATGCTCCTAACTACTTGGTGATCATTTTAAACGGTTAAATATGTCAATTTTACAGATTCTTCTATCATTGTTAGATGAATATTTGGTCTAAAATAAATGCTAAATGATACCAAGTGTTTTTTCTTTCTATTTTTTTCCCCCCCAGTGGATCTGCTGGGTCTGTTGAACTGGAGGTCCAAACACGAAGACCTGGACCAAACTTTGCAAAGGCTCATGGAAGTAGAAGGAGGAGAGATTGTCAAAGTAATTTCTCACTTGAACTTGTATAAAAATGGTTATTTGATGATGACATTTGTGTGACCTGCTGATGTTGCATCCGCAGTTTCTCCAGGATACTCTCGATGCTCTGTTTAACATCATGATGGAGACTTCGGAAAAGGACACGTATGACACCCTGGTGTTCGACGCCCTGGTTAGTCATCATTGCAGATGCAGGGAATTTCTAGCAATCAGATCTAACTATACTTTTTTAATCTAAATCTTTCTTTGCAAGTTTTCTGTTTTTTTTTTTTGTTTTTTTTTTTTTTTTAAACAGCTGAATGCCTTCCAAGAAAAAGGAAAATGCAAAGAAATGGAAGTCAGCCTCATATTGAAATGATACCTTGCCCCTCCCCCATCACTTTTAATGCTGCCTTTTGGCTGCCACTGCAAATTTAGCAATTCTAAGTAAATCAGAATCTGTTTGCTTCATCAAATTAACTGACACTCCTCTTGCAAAACTCTAACCTTAATGTCAAACGGCACCAATACCCTGTTTCTATTAGCGCTGTTCCTCTAATATAACCTAGTAGTAGTAGTAGAACTCTGCATCTCATTAATTAACATGAAAGAAAAGCCTTAAAATAAATGTTTTCTTTTATTTTTTGAACCTTAACATCACACTGAGAAAAGTTAAACATATCTACCCTTTAAACTGAAAACTTTTATTCAGCGACCCAAAAAAAAAAAAGAAAAGAAAAATACTTAAAATAATTGGTTTTAGCTAAATCAGCGGTGCCGCCTGTCCTTTAAAGAAACGTTCACCATTCTGGAATTATCCAGTTTGTTTGATTAGCGTAGATATTTTAGATCCTTGCTGATGATCAAATGCAATTCGTCTACTATGAGGAATGAATTGTGTGACATTTAAATGTTGGGAACCTCAGAGGAAAAAACCAAGCTAACTTTAGCATCATTAGCAGCTAACCATTAGCTGCTAATGATCACACATCATTTGTTTTTCTCATACTGTTGACATGCAAACAGTGTGTTTTTTTGTCATGCTTTGAGTTAGTCTGGCCAGACCTCATTACTCAGCACTGTTTAATCAACAAATCAACATAAAACCTGCGTCTTTTCTTAATTACCAGATGGAAAGGTTTCAATAGAATTTTTCCATCTGTAGGTAATCTGTTTGTACATCATCATACAGATACTGTAAAAAAAAAAGCAACATTAACTACAGCTATTAATGTAATAATGTTTTCTTTAAATAGTTGTTTTTGTTCATTTTGATCACTGAAATAGACCTAGGTGATGGTATAGTTCTTTATTTATTGATTTAAGTATAAGTACTGAGCAGGAGGCTCTTTTTACAAGTTAAGATCAAGTTTAACAATTATTAATTGTAGAAAGTCCAGATGGATATCCTATAGGGTGAGCGCCTTATTTCCAATACATTTATTGACAGAATGTTCTTCTATTGGCTCGAACAACTTGGCACATTTTGGAAAGTTATTGATTTGGTCAAAATTAATTAACAGTTGGTTGTTATATTGGTACAAAAATTCTAATCAGGGTTTGTGAACTTTTTTCATTGGAGTTTATCCATAGAATAGAATAACTATTAGGTTTTATACATTAGTGTTATTGTTTTAATGATATATGATAAACCAAACATTGTTGTGACAGTGGCTCAGGAGGTAGAGGTTGGTTCTGTAACCTGTTGGTGACGCCAATACTATGGCTGCCTCGCTTCAGTTAGCGTCAGTCAGTTTCAGTCAGCGTGCCCCAGGGCAGCTGTGGCTGCAGTGCATCAGTGTGTGGCAGAAAAGCTAAATTTAATGTCAAGCTGCAGAATCCCTGGATTTGATGAAGCTCTGTACAAGAACACGCTGTATACAATTTTTAACATTTTAAATATCTTTTGAGAACCAATTATAGAATTAAAAAGTCCTTTTTTTTCTTAAACTATGATTTCTTGTTAACCTGGACATAATGATGTGACATAGAAACCTATTTTATTAGCCAATATTTAAAAGATGAAATATAATTGTGTTAAACATCATAAACCAGGGAATCACTACTAATAAATCAATATGTTAATTTTATCTACTTAAAAATTACAAACTAACTGAAAATATAATGGACCAATGACAAACATGACTAAAAAAAATCTTAGAAACAAACTTCTGCAGAATATAGCAACCTCCTCAGGGTCGCCGTGTCTCTAACGGGTTATTTGCATGGAAAAGCATTACAAAAAAAGCCTTCTATGTCCTACCAACACAAAGGTAAACATTATTATTGTTGCTGGTGGTTTAAATTACCTTTAGAACATCGACAGAAATCTGAAAGTCTTTCATTTGGATTTTTTGTTGTTTTTATTTAATTTGGGGGTTTGTCTAACTCTGTTAAAGAACTGCAGCATATTTTAATTGTAAACATAGGCTAAAGCAATAAAAGATTCCCTGAATTTAAGACTCTTTTGACCGTTTTACCTAGTGTGGTCAAAAACATATGTAACCGGGTCCGTTCTACATTGTGCTGATTAGTAATGAGGAATTAGACTTGAAAAACAATTGATCATTTAAATTTATTCTGATGAGAACTACAAACGTTTTGGGCTGCTCACTCAAAGTCACACAAACATAAGTATATAGCAATAAATAAGTAAATTCCTGCTTAAAAATTTTAGATTATGGGATGGATTTTTAAATTAACATGATGAAAACAAAATAGAATTAACAAACTAAGAGATGTTTTGATGGAAAGTGTAGTATAAATTAAATGTATTATTATTATATTATTATTATTATTATTACCTTTCTGCGAGATGATATAATAGAGATTAGTCTAAAGGGCAAAAACAATTAAACAAAACAATACCTCAGAAGTAGAAATAAAGAGTTCAAAGTCTTTCACACGTATAACCATTGTTTGAAATGTTGAGTCAGGTAGAGGAACATAAGTAAAAAATATAAAACCTTTTGTGTAATTATTGCAAAATAGAAATAAAAGCTGGTTACAGTTATATAAAATACTCTGATTTGTCTCATTTCTAACAGGTATTCATAATCGCCCTTATTGGCGACATCAAATTCCAGCATTTTAATCCTGTCCTGGAAACGTACATCAGCAAACACTTCAGCGCCACTCTGGCTTACACGTGAGTTATCTCTCTGGATCTCCTCCAGTTTCTGCAAAGAGCTTTTGTTTCTAAGCTCTCCTCCTCATGTCACCCTCAAATTACCAGAAGCCCCCTAACAGCAGACTCATTCCTTTCTCAGGAAGCTGACCAAAGTGCTAAACTACTACGTGGGTCATCCTGAGGAGCCCACCCTGACGGAGCGACTCTACACAGCCCTCAAAGCTCTAAAGTACCTGTTCAGGTTCATTGTTCAGTCCCGCGTCCTCTCCTTCAGGTCTGTGGAGCATGATTCCCCTCAGCACTGAAACTTTTCATTAAGGAGGAGTTTCTGGAATAAAGTCGGCTTTTTTTTAATGTTTTTTTTCCCCCAGATTTCCAGAGAACAGCGAAGATCCGGATGCTTTCTTCAACTCCATACGTATGCTTTTTCTGTCTTTCAACACGCTTATGGACCGACCCCTGGATGAGGGGGTGAAGATAAAGGTGAAATATTAAATTCAGTAATATAGCTCAAAACAATTTAACATTTTTTGTCATTTTTATTGAAAGGCTATGCAGTTAGCATCAAAATAAAGAGGGCTCCCTATAGGCAGTTTGACTAAATGGATGGAAAGCGTTTTATTTTTGTTTTACTAGATATAAAAAATAAAACCTCCCCAAGCTCCAGCCTGTTGTTCCTTTTTTTTTTTCTTTCAGGGGGCAATATTGAAATACCTCCCCAGCATCATTAATGACATCCAGACTGTGTTTGATCCCGTGGAGCTCAGGTAACTCTCCCGTGGGTTTTCACGACAGGAAAATGGTAATTGCCTGTCTCACTGCAAATAATTACACATACTTCAGAGTAAAGGTGTTATTCCAATTCTGGGCGCTGTACAGCCTCTTCTGCGTTGCTGCTCATTAGCTCTCAGTGACTATAATCACAAGCTGGGAAATGAACTTGCATTACGGCTGTTACAGCAGTTTTATTTCTCACGTTTTCTTTGCAGCGTCCTCCTGGCGAAGTTCATTGAGAGCATCCCTGACTCACAGTTCGTGCGTCAGAAGCTGGGTTGCTTGTGTAAAATCATTGAGAGTGACCTTTTCACACAACCAGGTATGGATCCTATAGGAGTCTGAGATTACATGTCGACTTTTTAGATAGAATAGAAGAGAATTTTATGACTTCTGAAATAACTTGCATTTAAGCTGATTGGTTAAGCTGAAAAAACACCCTCTGTCGGCTGCAGACTGTCGAGATGTGCTCCTGCCGCTCGTCACTGACCAGTTAAGCGGGCAGCTGGATGACTATTCCAGTAAGCCAGACTATGAGGCCTGTGTCCAACTGCTCAGCACCGTGTTGGACACCCTGGACCGCAAAGATGTGGTAAGCAGGGTTCCCGAGGGTCCTTAAAAAGTCTTAAAAGGCATTGAAGTCTTCAAAATAAAATGAAGGCCTTAATTGGTATTAAAATGTCTTAAATCAGTCTTTTGTAGGTCTTAAATTTTAAAACATCATAAATAGGTTTATTTTTATTATGATTTATTTGTGTAATCTAAATAAAACATTTAATTTGACCTTTTTTTTTTTATTTAAAAATAATAACAGCTCGCCATTACTGGTTCCGTCCCGATAGCGGAACCAATAAAAGCGTTGTTGCGGCCGGGACATTTGGGAGATGCGCCATTTACTTTTTGTCTGGAAAATATGAGCAAGTGTAAATGTAACCAAAATTGTCTCCAGCCAAGAGTTTCCTCCATGGCTAAAACCAGGGAACATAAATGAGGCTCAGTGGATTTTTTGCAAGAAGCGATTCAAGCTCGGAACGATGGGAATTAAGGCAGTGGAGTCGCACATGCGAAGCACGAAACACAAAGCGTCAAAATGGAGTTACAGAGAAACAGCCGGTATTTCTCAGTTTAGTTCCACCCTTGTCTCTGCAACGCCTCCACTTATCACCAAATCAAACATACTAAGAAAACCATACAAAGAAAAATAGCTGCAAAAAAGACTTAGCGCTGGTTATGTTGTGGCTTTAAAACTGATTTGTTTTGTTCCCTGCTAAAACAAAGTTTGTGAATTCAGTGTATAGTGTAAATAATTATAAAAATATATCTGTCATTTGTGTGTTTTTAGCTTTCTTCCTGTATGAGAAGCTTTTCAAAATGTGAAACATTAGTGCAGTGGTTTATGTTAAAATAAACCTTTGGGTTAAGTTGTCGCAAGTGGGTTTTTCTTGTGTTTCTTGTGAATTTGGTCTTAAATTTTTATTTCAAGTGGCATTAAAAAGTCTTAAAAAGTCTTGAATTTTGCCTTATACTGTAGTAACCCTGGGTAAGGAGTTGACTCAGCAGCTCTACTTTGCAACAACTGGTCTTAGGATGAGCAATCATCAAAAATTAGTGTATTCATCCTCAATTTCTAACACTTGAATATGATGATCTGCCAATGGAGAGGGTATTTTTCTCATTCAAATAGGATAATTTGACAATCACTGCCTGAAATGGGGTAATGGTTGTTTTTTTTAATCCTATTTTAAACATCCATCCAGCCATTTTCCATCATGCTTATTCCTGCTGGGGTCACGAGGGATGCTGGTGCCCATCTCCAGCTTTCTATAGGCGAGAGGCGGGGTCCATCCTGGACAAACAACCATTCACACACGCTCACATCTAAGGAGAATTTGAAGAAGCCAATAAACCTAACGGTCATGTTTTTGGACTATGGGAGGAAGCTGGAGTACCCGGAGAGAACCCATGCATGCTCAGGGAGAACCAGCAAACTCAATGCATTAAGACCCGGGGCAGAGCAGCCCACTATTTTAAACATGAATCATCTTATTCCAATGGCAAATTGTCTCGCATACCCGCTCAGATCAAGGTTAAATATACTTATTTTAAGAACAAAATAACTTGCTGACGTTTCAGTTTTGCAGTGTAGCTGTTTATTCAAAATAAATAACTGAAGCACTTTTCAGATTTATAAGGTACTTTAAATCCAATTTGTTTTAGGAACTGCTTGTTATTAATTGTGGACTTTTCCTCTGGGGTCTGGGATGAGACAGGGGCCATTACTTTTACACACGAGTTCATTTTCTGGACACTACTGACTGTATTTATCTTGTGACCGAGCAAAGCGAGCAGGACGTCCTGCAGCAGCTTGGAGGTACACCATAAAACCTGATCCAAGACTCATTTGAGCAGATAAACAGGATGACCTTCTAATGGAAAACTGATTTTTCCCTTGAAATAAGATTAAATAAGAGCATGGAGATGTTTTTTTTTCCTTTTTAAACATGAATTATATTATTTTATATGTATATTTTTAGAGGTTTATTTAATATGAGATTTTGCTTCTCAGTAGAAGTTGGATTTATTACAAGGATTCCCTAAACATCTGGATACAGACATATTCGAGTCGCACAGCGTTTTATATTGGTGTTAGTGACCACTGAAGGTTTATTCCTCGTCATGACGGTGCTCTCTGTGTGAGCCGAGCCCAGGCACTCAGACGTCCACAGGGACCTCCCAGAGTGAATCTATTCATCTGTGGATCCTGTTTGAGGGGATTCATCTTCTCTCAGAGGTTATCCAGGAAAGGGTTCCAGTGGGAAGGAGGCCTGTAGGCAAACCCAGAGCATGCTGGAAGGGATTACACATCCCAGTTGGCCGGCAGGAATCTGGAGTTGCAGCTGAATAGTAATTGTTGCTGCAGAGTTAAATGTGAACCTGAAGTATCAGATCTTTCTCAGGCTCTCCTGTTCTCTAAGGAACGTTGTTTGATGCTCATCTTCGTTGTAAAGCATCAGATAAAGCTAACGCCCATGAAGGGAAAAGCTAACGCTTTGAACAATTGGTTTTCAATCACAGCAGGAAACCCTTTTTTATGAAAACACGACCCAGTAAATGGTTTTATTTATTTTAAATTTAAACAATACAAAAAAATGAGCCAGTTTTATGTCCAACTGACATCTAAAAATAATGAGGATCAGAAGCTGCTTTTATGATTTGGTTCACTGCAGCACTTCACCCAGCAGGACATCAGCATAAAAGGAGAAAATACGCTAATATCTGTTAAAGAAGACAAAATATAGACTTTGAAATGTTGTGAAGCATCTGGGTTAAGGAGGTTTTAGATTTACAGCTGAGCAGATGCTTTTTTTTTTAAAGAGATCAGTTCTTTTTGAAACATATTTAATGTTGCGGTAACCCCAAGATCAAATAGGCTCTCGCTGAGTCGAATGACCAGGAAAACTGACGTATTTTTAGAAAAGAATAAAAGAACCATCTGATATTGGAGGTTTTCCACAGTTTTCAAGCCATGGCTGAAGAAACTTGGTTGCTTCATCCTCGTTTTCAGGACAAAGGCCGCTGATCTGATGAAGTTGGTGTCTGAGAAGCAAGATAAGGCTGGAGGAGGTCAGAGAGCTGTAGGGCTGCACGTCTGTTCAGACATTTATAGGTTAACAGTTAAAATGTATCATTTATTCAGAGACTCATGGAGATAAAGCGAAATGTTAAAATCATTGAGATACGATCAGACCTACAAGCTCTGGTTTAGAGCCGAGCCGCAGCGTTGAGGTCCAGCTGTAGACCTGATGAACCCCAACATGAGTCCTAATAAAGGAATGAAAAACCTGCTGTTTAGCTCTGACATAAGCTGAGACATCTAACTTTACCAGGTAAATATATTTATTAGATTTAACCTTTTATAGGGTTCTCAGTGAATTAATTTGAAAATCAAAAGTTTAAGCCAATAGTGTTGTTGGAATTTGTAACATTCAAAAATATGGATATTTTCATGGCAAAAATTAATGTCAATTTAATAACAAGAAACGCCATCTTGCCTGAATATATTGAGAAAAATAACAAAAGTGCTTCTTTAAGAAATTCATGAAAAACACAGAGTAAAAGAAACACTTTTTTTTTTTTTTTTATACAACATAACCTTAAAGGCATTAATCCTGATACTGGCTCTTACAGTTTTTAGTTTGTAAACCTAAATATAATTGTTAAGTTGGCTTATTAATGTTTTAACTTTACTTTTTTACTTTTTAATAACTTTTTTTCTTGACCTGTTAACTTTTTTTCCCAACTTAGTTTACAGTAGGTAATATATAATTTAAGGACTCATCTAAAGCCGGGCATACACTGTGGGATTTTTTTCATTCGTTGCACGCAGCTAAAGCTCACGCTGTACGATGTAACCGCAGGGTTTCGTCGTACAGTGTGAGCTCACAGCTCACGAACTTTGAATCAATTTGACTGCATGACCTGGTTTAACTGTAAAATGCCTTGAGATGACTTGTGTTGTGAATTGGCACTGTAGAAATAAATTGAATTGATGTACAGGTGCTGGTCATAAAATTAGAATATCATGAAAAAGTAGATTGATTTCAGTAATTCCATTTAAAAAGTGAAACTTGTATATTATATTCATACATTACATACAAACTCATATATTTCAGATGTTTATTTTGTTTAATTTTGATGATTACAAATGACAACAAATGAAAATCTCAAATTCATCATATCAGAAAATTAGAATATTACTGAAGACCAATAAAAACAAAGGATTTATAGAAATGTTGGCCAACTGAAAAGTATGAACATGGAAAGTATGAGCATGTACAGCACTCAGTATTTAGTTGGGCCTCCTTTGGCCTGTATTACTGCAGCAATGCGGCATGGCATGGAGTCGATCAGTCTGTGGCACTGCTCAGGTGTTATGATAGCCCAGGTTGCTCTAATAGTGGCTTTTAGCTCTTCTGAATTGTTGGGTCTGGTGTATTGCATCTTCTTCTTCACAATACCCCATAGATTTTCTATGGGGTTAAGGTCAGGAGAGTTTGCTGGCCAATTAAGAACAGGGATACCATGGTCCTTCAACCAGGCACTGGTAGCTTTGGCACTGTGTGCAGGTGCCAAGTCCTGTTGGAAAATGAAATCTGCATCTCCAAAAAGTTGGTCTGCTGCAGGAAGCATGAAGTGCTCTAAAACTTCCTGGTATGTGGCTGCGTTGACCCTGGACCTCAGAAAACACAATGGACCAACACCAGCAGATGACATGGCACCCCAAACCATCACTGACTGTGGAAACTTTACACTGGACTTCAAGCAACGTGGATGAAGTGCCTCTCTTCTTTTCCTCCAGACTCTGGGACCTTGATTTCCAAAGGAAATGCAAAATTTACTTTCATCAGAGAACATGACTTTGGACCACTCACCAGCAGTCCAGTCCTGTTTCTCTTTAGCCCAGGCAAGACGCTTCTGACGCTGTCTGTGGTTCAAGAGTGGCTTGACACAAGGAATGCGACAGCAGAAACCCATGTCTTTCATACGTCTGTGTGTGGTGGTTCTTGAAGCACTCACTCCAGCTGCAGTCCA